GATTCATCATCCTTAAATATCAGTGTTCTGAAGTACTACAAGCTTAACTACCTACACCAACACAAACCTAATGATTCTCTGCCTGGTGTAAAGCAAGTACTATGCAGTAATACCTTACTGCATGTGGGAGGGTTTTCTTTACAGGTGATGTAAAATTCCTCCATGTAGACTGATGTGCAAAAGAGAACAGTAGGGTCACGATTAATGTTCTAAAACTTCTAGGATTACAGGAGGGTAGGAAGTGTTACAGTTGTCTGTTGCTGCTGCTGTTCCCATAAAGGCTCCAATTCACAGCACCACAGAACACAGTGGTTCACCTCTTTATGACCACATTTTGGCATTTCCGCTTGCACTGACACATGGCAAAAGAACTGCTGTAAAAACACCTCTATTGATTTAATTCTGAAAATATACCACATTGCTAAATACAAAAAAATTAATGTGGGCATTGCAACTATGGATTTTTTATTACCCCAAATTCTAAGTAGTGCACATTAATACTGTACATCATAAAATTCTTGATCATGTAGGTATACTCTTCAGTTTATCTCATAATACACTACCACTCTTCTAAATCATTGCCAATGTAATCTTTAAAATAGTAGCTCTTTGTCCACTCTAGGTTTTGTAAAAAGAGAAAGTATTATCTTCTTCAGATATCACAGCTTTCGTTTTTTTTCTATGGTATTGTTTATTGGTGACTACAGCCTGCTTACTTTCAATTCTAATCAGGAACTCATTCTATTACTTTGCTTTCAAGAAAAACTCCTTCACAAAAGCCTGTAAAATAAGATTGATATCACTGACACACTTCTCTGAAAAATATTCGGGAAACACTACTACTGAATATTATACGCTCAGATATTGAGGTACTATACCACAAAAAATATTTTCTTCAACTAGTCACAATGAATTATTTTTCCCAGTACTGCTACAAAGTTTCTAGAGTATATCATGAAGTAAGACTTGAGGAAAATTAACACACTCCTATCAGAAATGACTGATCTTTTCTGTGAATACTGAAAATAGTCTAAATATGCAGTTTATATTGTCATCAGATCTCTTTTCTTTTTCACCAGCAACAGATAAATCCACTGTAGCATTTTATTTTTAAGCAAAAACTAACAGTTTGTAAAGGCACAAACACAGGTGCACATTGGAAAGAATATCTTGTGTCTCTGCAAGTGGCATGTAATATATATCAAGAACCATCATATGCTCATTATGCCACATCTGTGGTTCAGAAAGGCAGTACATACAATGGATATAGTAATACTTTTGCTTAAGCAACAGTAAGGACTTGTATAAATCCAAAAGAAATGCAATTATAACACCACTTGGAAGACTCACCTTCATATTCACTGTATTTGATAAGCTCTGTAACTGCAAACCACTTCAGCTTTAGTAGGTACATAAAGATGAAGAATAAGTATGTTTATTTTTAAACTTCAGTTCCTGTTGAAGTTGTCAATGACTTTTAAAGGAACTATTCTGAAGCACCAGAAGAGTTATTTTAGATGCAGAACTTCCAAGTGAACACATGACTGAAGGAAAGTATCATATCATAAATGTTCCGAAATGACTTTGAGCCAGTTGGCCTGTTTTATCACCACAAATTTCATTTGCCAAGATGGAGGTACTCTATTCACAAAACTGTGCTTATGTTCAGAATCCCTAATTCTAATTCACATTTTATTTCAGGAAATCTGAGTTCAAAAAGAGCCTAAACTTTTAACTTCTTTTTATTGTTTGGCTACATTAGAAAAAAGTGTCAGGTACTCTGCTTCCTGAGATGTCACTCTGCAGTGAGCTGCAGAAATGGGTTTTCAGAAAACTGCACAAATATTTTAAATATATTTCTAATTGTTAGCATACTGTCTTCATCTATACAGTTGAAATTCCTGCTTTAGGTACACGTAAAGAAATGTGAATATTTGGAAGACATCCAAAGACATATTTCTTCTATCTTCTCCCACACTGATTTCTTTTGCTACTTTAGGTGCTTTTTGGACTTATTATCACAGCAGCATCATGATGCTAATTACATGATAGCAAAACCATCAGAATTAAATGCTTAGCTTAACACCACTTCCTCCTTTTCCTTACTCCCACTTCCCACAAGCCGTTTCAATGCTTTTCCACAGATTCTTTGTTCCAGCTGTGGCTAGGGGATCCCTGTCACCTCTTCTTCCAGCAAAGGGCTATGGCAGAAAGCTGTGCTGAGTGCAGGCTCATGGGAGATGGAGGTGTCCTGGCAGAGCACATGCAAGAGGAGCTTGTGCAGATGGAAACAGTCCTGCATCACAGGATGAAACTGGAAAAGAATGTGGCCTCAGTGGCACACAGAAGTATGCAGTTTTAGTGGTGCAGACAGAAGTCCTTTTCTTCCCCACAAGTAACACTGTGGTAGAAGAGATGTAAAGAAGGTAAAGAAGAGGGATCGTTTTTTTTTTAATTCCGAATGTTATTTCTCTTTTCTTTTCACACCTACATATTGTATCTACACTTCCCTTCTTTCTTCTGCACCTTCCCACCTCTCTCCTGCCCAAATAACTTCTCCTTTCAGCCTTTTCTTAAATCCCATATTATCCTTTTTCTGTCACACTTTCATTTTTCGTTTCAGAGAACCACAGAATTGTAGAAGTATTTAGATTGGGAAAGACTTTAAGACCATCGAGTCCAACTGTTAACACAGCACTATGAAGTCCAGCTAATATACGATGTCCCTAAGCCAAATATGAAGTCCAGCTAATATACGATGTCCCTAAGCCAAATGTCTTTAAACATGTTTTAAATACTGCCAGGGATGGTGACTCCATCACTGCCCCTGGCAGCCTGTTCCAGGGTTTAACAACCCTTCTAGAAATTCTTACCAATATCCAATCTAACCCTCCCCTGGTGAAATTTGGGGCCATTTCCTCTCATTCTAGTTCTTGTTACTTGGCAAAAAGAGACTGACACCCACCTGGGCACTCACTGGCTCATGTTCAGCTGCTGTCCACCAATACCACCAGGTCCTTTTCCACCAGGCAGTTTAAGCTGCTCTTCCCCCAGCCTGTAGCACTGCAGGGGTTGTTGTGACCCAAGTGCAGGGTCTGGCATTTGGCCTTCTTGAGCCTTGTACCACTGGCTTCACCCCATTCATCCAGCCTGCCCAGATCCCTCTGCAGAGCCTTCCTACCTTCCAGCAGATCAACACTTCTGCTCAACTTGTGTATGCAATTGAGGGCGTTCTCGGGTCTTCTCAATCAGACCATGAATAAAGATATTAAATGTGCCTGACCCCAACACTGAGCCCTGAGGAACACCACTGATAATCAGCTGGATGTAGGTCTATTCACCAACTCTCTCTAGGCCTGGCCATCCTGACAGGTTTTTTACACAATGAAGAGCACACCTGTCCAAGCCAAGGACAGCCAGTTTCTCTAGAATGCTGTGGGAAATGGTGAAAAAGGCTTTACTAATGGCACAAAGGCTACTAAAGTGGGTAGACACATCAACAGCCTTTCCGTCATCCACTAAGTGGGTCACCCTGTCACAGAGGAACAGGTCAGTCAATCAGGACTTGCCTTCAATAAACCCATGCTAGCTGGGCCTGATTACCTGTACATGTTGTGTGAGGATACTAAAGATTATTTGCTTCATCTCCAAACTGAACTTTCCCTGTCACAACTTTGAGGCCATTTCCTTTTGTCCCAACACTTGTTACTTGTGAGACCGGCCCCTACCACACTCCAACCTCCTTTTAGGTAGCTCTAAAGAGCAATAAGATCCTCCCTGTTCCTCCTTTTCTCCAGACTAAACACCCCTAGCTCTCCCAGCTGCTCCTCATCAGATTTGTCGTTCAGATGCTTCACCAGCTTTGCTGCCTTTCCCTGGACATGCTCCAGTACCTCAATGTCTGTTTTAAAATGAGGGCCTCAAACCCAGTACTTAAGACACGGCCTCACCACTACTGACTACAGAAGCACAACCACTGTCCTCATCCTGCTGGCCACACTATTGCCGATATAGGCCTGGATGCCGCTGGCCTTCAAGTCGGCTCATGTTCAGCCATCTGCGCTCCTTCTGACCCAGTGCTTTCAAGTCCCTTACGCTTATTTTCCAGCACAATTCCTGTACTTTTCAGATTCCTTTTTTTTTTGACCTGCCCCTCGAAACCCCCATCCCACCGCCTGACAACCATCAGTTTCGGGGACCGGCTGGGAGCGCAGCTCCCCCCGTGACCACGGGAGGGTTGGGACGGCCTGGAGGGAAGGCCTCACTCAGCACAGAGGTGCCCGAGCCCGGCGCCCCACATCCTCGGAGCAGCACCGCAGAAGCCCGGCCGTACAACAATCCCCTGCCCCACCGCCCCTTTCCCTCCGGCAGCCCCCGCCCGCCGGCGGCCCCGCCCCTGCGCCTTCCCGCGGGGGTGACGCCGCGGCCCCGCGCCGCGGAGGCGGGACCCGGGCACGGCGGGCGTTCGTAAGTTCCTTCCCCCCGCGGCGGTGGGGCCGCGGCCCGGGCGGGGGGCGGGCGGCGCCGGGGCGCGGCTGCCCCGCTCTCTCTCCCCGCCTGCGGAACCGGCTGGCGGCGCCGGGCCGGGGAGCAGGAGGCGGAGGGGTGGCGGCTCCCGGCGGGGCGGGCGCCTCCTCTGGCCCTGACAGTGTGAGCTCGAGGGGTTCCTGGCTGGGCGCTGCGGCCGGAGCTCCGCGCCTGCGGGGCCTTTCGTTCTCGTGTGTGTCACGGCACAGCTGGTCCCGCGGCTCGGCCGAGGCGCCGGGCAGCGCGGAGGGGTCCGCAGCGTCCCCCGGGCCGCCGAGGTGTGTGCGGGGCCCGCCCGGCCCCCGCCGCGGAGCCCGGGAACGGCGGTGCGGGGCCTGCGGCGCTCGGCCGGGGGCACCGTGTGAACTCAGAGCCAGCACGGGCATCCGAGCCCCGGGCCGGGGCTGTCACAGCGAGGCCCGGGGTATCATCCCCCGAGTGCGGAAACTGCGAGAGGGCGTCACTGCCGTTGCCGCTTCTGATGTTATAATAAAGACCTGCGGAAAGGCCGCGTATGACCTACAAGTTCCTACAAGTCACGACGGTTGCTTGTGCAGCTCACGCTTTTTTCCGTGGTGGCCGCAGAGCGTGACCTCTGTGAGGGGTGGCAGCGGGTGCCTCCAGGTTCTGTGGCGCTGGGCCGTGGCACCGTTTGCCTCCTGTGCGGCCCCTGCCAGCGTGAGTCAGAGCTGTGCGCCGAGCTCTTGACTCCGAGACCTGAGAGCTGTTTCATAACCTTGCTGCTGCTTCCATAAAAGTACAAATGCGGTGCGCAGTGCTCTCGGGCTCCTTACGCTTTGGAAGGAACTGACAGCCAAAGGGGTTTTGTCCTGTGGTTGCAGGAATGGATGCAGTAAATGGGTCTAGTGTTTGTGTGTAACTTATTGAGGCTTGTTGGCTTATGAATCCATTAGATCTTTCAATAATCGCTTCAGGAACATAGAACTTTTAATAATCGCATTAGGAACATGTCCCAGTTCCAAGTGATCAGATGTATCTGGCATAGATAATACAAGGATGTAGAAGGAGGGAAGCATTTTAAACCGCGTAAGAGAGTTTTCAAAAGACTGTGCAAATGTCTGCAGATTTGAAACAATATGAATGATTGTCTTGTTTCAATTTGTTTTTCCCAAAAGTCATGCTCTATTGAAAGATTTACCTAGTTCTGTGCCTAAATGAAGATTGATGTGGTATGTCTTGTGCTCAATTCCTTTCTTCTCCAAGTTAACTTTTATTGAAGCATTTTAATGTGTATTAAAGTCTCAGTCAACAGCCTAGGCCTTAAATGCTGTATAGTTTAGCTAATTATAGTCTTGAATTTTCTTGTCCTGATATATTTGAACCTGTAATAGGCCATTAAAAGTGGTCTTTCATGTTATTATTTCTTAATAAAAAGGGAAGAGGAGGATAACATAGGGTAAATGCACAGCTCCCTTGGATTACAGTAGTTTATGTGCAGTTTTTTTTTTCCCCCATGGAACTATTTAGCAATCAAAGTACTGAGCTGTTGTTCTTCTGTTTGTTTTTTTAATAACCTGATTGTAGCTAGTCATTTTTAGTAGTAGTTTAAGTCAATCTTTTTCAAAGTTATTTTTATGTGAAGCAAAATACATGAGGGATGAGTGCATATTTTTTCTGCTTCAGTAGCTAGAAGAATGGGATTTTTTCCAACTTGGAGGTTGTCAAAAGACAGAAAGGAAGAGGTAGAAAAAAGTATATGACAAGTCATATGTTTAAAATATTTTTTGTAATGATCTAATGTTTTTACTATTTAATTACAAAGATATTCTTGGGTAATAACTGGAGGATCAGAAGAAAACTAGCACTATGCAAATGCTTTTAGCTTTTGGGCAGGCTGTTAAATAAATAGATCATGTGCTAGCTGAAGTTGCAATTGAAGTGTTTTTCAAAGCATCTAATGAAGAAAATATTAGTTTCTTATGTTTCCTGCATCTCATTTGTGAGTGAGAATATCAGAACTAGCAATGATGGGAAGAGCATTGATGAGATATTTCTGACTTTCTCACATGAAGCCTTAGAAATTTATAGTGATTGTCACACATATGTTTTTGATGTACAGGTTCAAGGATTATGTTGTGCTAGGTGGGAGGAGTGTTCTTCATCAGTGACTTCAACTGTTTCAAGCATTTTTATGTGCTCAGGTAAAACATTTATAGAAGTGGTTTAATGTTTTAAATGTCTGTATGAAACTGGTGATGGTTTTATGTATTTATTTGCACCTAAGGAGGTAGATGGTCAGGTCAAAGTGATATAGCCAAATGTTGAATGTAGAACTTGGATTGGAAGCTGACTGGAAATACTACTGCAGTTGCAATTAAAGAAACTTTGGAGTTTTAAAAATGCATGGGAAAATCAGAAATATAAGAACTTTTATCAGTTATTTTAGCAATATTTATTCTGATATTTTTTAGTGTTATCTCTAGTCTAAAGTCTTGTTAATGTACAGTATGCCTCAGAGGAGATGCTGTTGTATTGTGGGTACACATGTTTTAGTAGAATTTTTGTTTATTTACCGCTTCCTAAAATGTTTATCTCTTCCATTAAATGCAGTTTTCTGTCCTTCGCTAACTATATTTCCTAAGATATTGGAACTTTCTTTTTTTTTTTGTTTGTTTTTTTATTTCTTTGAAATAGGAATTAAGGTGGATGAAATGTTTCATTGATCATAGCAGGAGCAGGACATATAAGGTGGGTATGTTGAAAGATTACAGTTAATATCTTTGCAGAGTATTTTAAATTTTGATTCTGTGTCCATCTGAACACAAAGACAGTTTTTGCCTCTGTGTTTGACTTGCTATTTACATGCTCATTTAAAATTCTTTAAGGTCATTGAGGGTGTACTCCATTGGGCTTGTACCAGTGAAACTAATTGTTTTCATAATTTCTATAAAAGATATTAGTTGTTCAGTGGTATTTTTAAAAATCCCCCCTGCCGCCGCTGAGACTGCATCTGCCCAGCCGCGGTCCAGAGAGCAGGGGAGTTAATACAGCAAGGACTAGGGATACAAGGAGACTCTGTTCTGGTGGGATGAAGCCCCAGCTTTAATCAGAAGATGTCCAGGGCAGGAAAAGAGAGAGAATCATGTTCCGCGCTGCTTTTTGAACCGAGGGGAAGGGGGTAGGGAAGGAAGGGTACAACCAATAGGGAAGAATCAAATGGGAGGGATGACCGGGAAGGAACTAAAACTAACATCTTACAGATCAGAGGGAGAGCCCCAGGAATATACCGTGTATCTTAATACAATGCAACAGGTCAGCAGCAGGCAAGTGTGTTTTGATTCTTATCCTTATTTGCAGTCAAGAGAAGACATTGGCCTTATTTGCTAGGACTTAATACTTCATGTTGGCACTGTAATTCACTTGCAGAGGTCCAGAACATGTTTTTACTTAAAAATATTTTTTAAAAGGAATTTAAAACATGACCATATCATTTTACAATACTAACATTGGCAAATAAGAGAAACAGTGCTGCTTGAATAATAATTGAACCCTTTCTCAGGGAGCATATTTGCATGTTGTTATCAAAGTTAAATGAATTACAGACTTCCTTGCAATGTAATCACCATTAAGTTATATGACAGTAATCTTTATTTTTTATTTTTTAATTTCAAAAATAAATTGTTTTGGTTTTTTTTTTTTTAATTTCATTCTTTCTTGTGCTGATGTAACAAAGAGATTCTTACTGCCAGCTTAAAATGGCATTTGGAGAATGCTGTTGTCTTTGTACTGTATTTGCTGTATCACTGTTGGTCTTGTCATTTCATGAAACTGCAGAACAAATGGGTAGAAACCATCCTATTCAAATATCACAGTGTGATATTTGCTAATTAAATAATCTTTGACTTACTGTATTATAGTACTGTATGTGCTTATATTGGTTTGTTCCTAATTGGCTGATCAAACATAGTGGCAGTAGTATTCAAGCATGACTTTCTTAAAGGACTGTTTTCATGGGTATTTATAGTGTAATTGAATGTTGTAGGAAATGTTAGTGTGGTTTGTGTAGCAATACATATTGTAATCTTATAACTCTTCCACTTAATATCAAGAACATAATGAAGACACCATAAACCTAACTGTGGTAGAACTGTACTGTGCATTGAACAAGGATGCAAAAGGATAAAAAAGTTATCTTTGCTTTGTCACTTCAGTCTTTTACCATTTTAGGAAAGAATGTTTTTCTCACCTAAACTGTGAGCTGTTCTTTTTCTCTTTGGTTCTTTTCTTGCATCTTTTTGAAGGCCATACAGTACTGAAAGCCTTGCTTGAAGGGAGGCTGGCTGGTGTCCTAAACACTAGAAGAGGTTTAGTACTGAGCTGTCAGTACACCTTGAATTGTTGCACAAAAGGAAAAGAAAGAATGCAATCAGTAGCTCAGTATATCTTTCAGAATTGTAATGCATTGTGGTCATTTCGTTTGTGGCTAAACTTTTATTTTTTGCAGAGTGGTGAGATTTTTTTTTTTCATGGAATCTTATAAAGAGTAAAATTATGGAGTATTGAATCATAAACATGCTTTTTTATTTTTAAGTGTGGCTTTTAGAGGCTGGTGTAGGATGTTAATTTCTGTATATGCATCATGTTTCATTCTGTGGCTTAGCAGTTTATTGTTTTTCAGAAAGTCTAAACCCAGGATTGTTGGTTTAGAAAAAGTGTCGTGGTTAAAGCCAAGAAGAGGTCATACGGTGAGCTTCAGAGCTGGACTGTCTCAGCTCTGCTGAAGAGCCTCTGTTGCAGCAAGTCACTGGGGAGACAGGAGTATTCTTGTGGCTCACTTAGATATTTGCCAGGAGGAGCAGGCGCTAAAAAGATGGAAAAGTGTCTTGGAAAATTTGTTTGATAGGTAAAGAAGTCGTGGGGAAAAGAAACTACTTCTGGCAGACTTACTAGGATCTATCAATGAAATTGGTTTGGAACATTAGGTTAGTTGTAAGTTACAGCTCCTCGGAAAATTTTTGCTGTTAAAGTGTGGGTGGCAGAGCAGTCAGAGCTATGTTTCCATAATCAGTCTTTTTCATGAAGCCCTATGTTACCAGTAGCTGAATGCTGAAATGTCTGTAGGAGTGATTTAATTGTATTACATGACCCCAAAGGAGAAACCAAACAAAAAAAACCCTCAAAGGTGCATTATTCAGTCCTTAAGGACAATTGCAAGCGACTGTATCCCTTCTTCAAAGGATCTTTCTCTTGGGCCAACACTATGAAAATGGTGTATGGTGACAAACTAAAGCTTAGACTGATGTCGTTGTTATACCTATGCTTCTTTGCCGCTTCACTTTTCTTATATGCATGTTTGTGGTTATTTGGGATGAACTGTAGAAAATAGGGATTTTACAAAAATGTTACTGATTTTTATAGTTTTGAGCACACTTCAGTCTTCTGCTGAATGACATAGAACTTAATTGTGGTGTATTTTTTGGGCCATGACTGTTTGGATTCCCTCAGAGAGACTTCAGTCTGCTGATTGTGAGGGTGTGTAATCTCAGATTTATATCAGTCTGTCCTTTCAAAGACTGCTACATACACCAAGACACGAAGTTCTGACAGTTTTTGCTCTTTCTTAGCTCAATCAAACCAGAACTGCTGGTGAGGAAATAAGGTACATCCATGTTTTTAGGAAGCAGGTCAGTAGAGTTGAACTACCCAACATTGGTCTCTGCTAATTATGTGCAGTGTCCTAAAGATAAAACTATATGAACCCCCAAAATACTGTTAGAGAATTAAAAAGGATCAGTCTCTAGAAACCTGCATAATCCAGTTGTGTAAGTGTAGTACTCTGTGTGTGATGATTCAAATGCTTGGAAGTTACCAGCCTGCCAGTAAAATAATATGGATGTTCAGTGGGTTGTGTTGCTTTTGTCATCAACAGATTTTGAGGCTTTACTGAAGCAGGAAAACAAATTAGTATTGGATTTAGAAACAAGGAACTGTTGTATATTACAGGACTCAAATGGAGACCACCCAAATTCCTTCAGCTGGTTTTTGTTATTTTCACAAATAGTTTGTTCTTTTAGTAGAATGCTTAAGAACAGATAGTTGGGTCAATGATTCTATTATGTTTTTCCCTAAACAACAATATTAAGCAAACTTTACAATATTGTTCATCATTGAGAAAAAAAAAAAAGACTTATAGATTCCCTTGTTTTTTTTTAGCTTCTAAAGAAAAATAGTGATAGGCTGTTGTGATTTCAGATCTTCAAATTATAAATGTAATGCACTGAGTTTTTGGAAACTTTTTTCTAGTTTTGGCCCTTACAAGGGCCAATACAGTATCTATTATATTCTATGGTATTTAGTAAGTTAATTCAGAGATATTATCTATTTTCCATAGTTCTGGTAGAATAGGTAGTATGCAGAATATTCTTGTCCTCCATATAATATGAGTTATCTTTTTTATTACAGTCTTAATTTTTCAAAGGGCAGGTCTGCTGTGTTTTTACTGACTCATTTTTGTGCCAAAGCATGCTTGGTGCCTCATTGAAGACCTAAAAGCAAAAAGTCCTGGGCATTTACCTTTGTTTAGTGTGTGTTTGTGTTCTCCTGTAAACCAGTGATTTTCTTTCTGGGAAGGTACCCTGACTGGCAAATGACAAAGATTTGCAGACTGTAATGGGTGAGATACAAAGAAGAAATTATGCTGAAGGACAAAAAAAGCAAACCTGGCCTCAAATGATGTCTTGACATGTTACTAATGCCACATACTCAAAGTAGGGAACTGCGTGTTAAAAATATTGTTTCTTCTCTTAGCTTCTGATACCTGTGTTGATACTTGCAATCAAAATAAATGAAATGTGATGGAGTATGAAATGCTGTGGTAAAAATCAGTATCTTACTGTCATACAGCATGCCATCGCAGTGGATGTGGTGCTGAATGCCTCTAAAAAGGATGTAGAGAAGAAGGGAATCAGGGAAGAGTCTGGAAGAGGAATCTGTGGGGATGGAAATTTGCTTTTATAAAGAGAAATTGGAAAACAAAAGAGATTTTGTAGCCTTTGAAAGGCTGTGAATATGGAGGAGTATAACAAAAATACACAGAATGATGAATTGTTTGAGAGAAGTAACTTAAAAACTTTTGTTTTGTTGGTTCATGCTATAAGAGTAAGGGGACATTCTGTGAAATTAGGGTGGCAAAGTGAGAAAGGAAACTTGAGAAAGGATGTATTTCTTAATAAACTGGTAAGACTGAGCTCTGCAGTCTAGGGATAATTTTAATTTAGAAATATTCTAATATAAATTGGGTAAGTTAGAGTTCAAGAATATTTAAACAGGCTAAAGTTATCTTTTCTCCTGAAAGAATATAATCCCTCATCTTTTTGTCACATGCAAATTTATTTTTTCCATCGTGATTTTTTAATAAAGCTCATCTAAAAACCATGTGTTGATAGTGTGAGTAAAGAAAGTAAGTCTATCCCTAGGTTGTTTATGGGAGAAAGAGTTACAGCATCTCACTAATTTGTTTGCTCTCTTTCCCTGTATTGCGTTATATCTAGGTGACTGACCCACTAGCTGTTATGTCTAGTTCCCTTGGTAGGATGCACTGATTTACTTTGTTTCTCTTGTAAATGTGGATATTGGAGACGAGGTTTTGGTGGCTAACATCAGCATCCTCATGAAATTGGAAAGAATTTACATAGGCCAGTTGTTTTTGTGACTCATGAGACACTGTTCTGCTTTGATTTTTCTATTGC